TTGGAAGTTGCTCCCACTCCCCCACCTTTTCACCTGCCCATACTCCGTAATGCCTACCTGCAGCACCCGCCCACCCCCAGCACCTGCACACCTGCCCATGTCCACAGCAAACCCTCACCCCTCTGCACCACCATCCTGTAGTTCCCACCCGCAGCTCTCATCCACCAACCTGCTTGCATGGGACTCCCACCTCTTCCTGCTTAATGACTCACATGTTCCTGGGGTTACAATGGCAACCAGGGCTGCCAGGATTGCCATCGTTATGCGATGCAGTCATGTGACATCGTGCTTTATGACCACATCATTTAGCGACAGAAATTCCAGTCCCAAATGCCATCGTAATCCGGTGTCTACCTGTAGTTAATTAGATAAAATTGTACAGGGGCTCAATCACAATACCTCAAGGCACAGGGGAACAGCCAAGTTTTCAATGCCTTTTTGGACATCATCAGGATGGTAATCGTATGCATATCTGGAGAGATGATGTTCCAGAGGGCAGGTGCTGCGACAAAGAAGACATGCTTCTTAGGTCCCAACGGATGGCATTGTTTGATCAAAGGGATCTAGAGTTCACCGGCTCTTACAGGATGGACAGAAACTATTGGAGACAGGCAACCCCTCAGATAACCAGGCCCTATGCCATGAAGAACTTTCTAAGTGATAACCAGCACCTTGAATTGCACCCAGAAGCCAATTGGCAATCAGTGCTTGTGGACAGCGGTGTCACATGGGCAGATCGAGGCACTCCTGTTACTGCCCACACCATTGCCTTTTGGATCAGCATTAATTTCAAGTGTTCTTCAAGGGCAGACTCATGGAGAGGCATTGCAGAAGTCCTTTCATGAGGTGACAAGGGTGTTCTAGGAACAGGTGCAACTGGTGCACTAGATGGATCTGTGCAAAGGTCTTCTGGGCCATAGCTGTCACCTGCTCTTTAAGCAGGAGCTGAGCCCAAGAACAACCTCAGATTGAGCACCAGTCTCAAATGAGGAAGAGCAACCCCTTTCAAGACAAGAGATGGAATGTTCCCAGAAGCAGGGATCCAAATACACACAACCACTTGGTCTTGTCAGGATTAAGCCTGAGTCAGTTTCTCCCCATCCAGATCCACATAGTCTCCAGACATGGGACAGGACATCAAGCACATCACTTGAACAGAAATATATAGCTGGTTATCATCAGCACATTGATGATACCAGAGCCCAAACTGACAATCGTACCCAGCAGTTTCATACAGATGTTAAACAGAAGGGGTGACAGCTACTCTGCCCTGCATCCCACAAGTGAAGGGACGTGGGCTCAATCTGTTCCCACCCCCCACCCCCGCCAATCAATACCAACTGGAACCAACCACAGAGAAAGGAAGAGAACTACCTCAAGTGTCCTCCACTCCCAATCTCTCCACTCAGTCCAGAAGGATACCTTAATCAATGGTACTGAAAGCTGCTGAGAGATCAGGGAGAGCCACAATGGCTCTTCTGTTGCATTAAAATAGCTTTGGAAATCTCTGGGGTAGTATTCAAGGTCTTTGGGGTATCTGTAGTCCTGAGGGCTCAGTGTTCATTTTTGCTCTTCATTTCCTAATCTGACTGTGACTCTCTGGGATACATCTAGAGAGCAGCAGATTCACAAAACATACTCAGTAATAAATCCATATTCCTACATTAGTATTCAGATCATTAAACAATTGAGCCTGTCAATAGTTTTACCTCTTTATCTTTTTGAACACATTTTCTGGATTCATGAAATATTAAGTTATGGCTTGTTTTAACTATGGTTTATTGGACAAGCTATATTGGCCTGGTTCACATAAAATACTAAGCCATAAACCATTCCTTCAAGCCACAATGTTCTGATTTACACATCGAGCTAAACTAAAACCACTTATTTATTTATTTATTTATTTATTTAGTAGACTTGTCCCCGCCCATCTCCCCACAATGAAGGACTCTGGGCGGTTTACATCAAATTAAAACCATAAATACATAATTAAAAGTTATAAGAAAGAACCACACTTACACAGATAGAAAAAAGGTTAAAAAATCCAAGAGGCCGATGGAAATTTGGCCATGAATGATGCTCAAATTGAAAAGCAAATACATGAAGAGTTGAATAGATTGGAAAGAAGACTGAAAAAGTCATGGTTGGTTGGAACTGATATTCTCAAAAAGAAAGAGGTGAGAAGTTTAAAAAACAAAAAGTAATGTATGAATCAGTGCCAAGCTGTGGTAGAAGCGAACACTGTTTGCAAGGTTAGAAAGGTAGAGAAAAGTATAGTGAATGGTGTAGATGTAAATAAATTTAGATTTCCTTTTCTGTATCTCCACCTTAATTTTTTTTTTCATTACTTTACTTTGTATAAAGCTTCTTACCCAGAAATGAAATAGCCCTTCATGGCTGCATCACGGTCTCAGGAAAATACACATTGCTGACTTGTACTATGAATGCAGCCATCCATGCTCCAAAGCCCCTTTTTCTCTTCAAAACCTTAGTTTGTATGTATGATTTAATGAATGTGTGAACAGCCATTGACTGGATAGTTGTAGTAAGTTCAGTGAAACTTACTTCCCAGATAAATATGTTTTGGAGTGTAGCCTTATTTAAAATATAGATTTCTAAATAGCTGCATCCTATTTGCAGTATCACAGGATGAATTGCTCCTTAAGGAACTGAATGAAGTAGCTGATAGTCTGGCCAAAGCTTCATGTGTTTTTTCAAAGACATCCCAGAGAATTGGTAATTGGTAAAATGCCGGTGATTGGAAGAAAGCAAATGTTGTTCCTATTGTCAAAAAATAGGAAAAAAGAGGAACCAAAGAACTACAGACCAACTACTGGTACTGATATCTGGGAAGATTCAAGAGTAGACAATAAAAAAATGAGGACCTTGTAAGGACCTTGAAAGCAATGCAGTGATTCAACTGTTTCAAACTAATTTTATCTCATTTTTTTAGTAGATAACCTTAAAGATTATATGGATGCTATGGATGTAATATTGCTTAATTTCAGCAAAGCATTTGACAAAATACCCCATGAAATTCTGATTAACAAGTGTGGGCAGGATGGCATGACAATTAAATGGATATGCTTGAAAATCATGCTAACTTCATCAATGGATTCTCATTAAATGGGAAGAAACAGCAAGTGATGTGACATAAGGTTAACTCCTCTACCCTTTAATATTTTTAATAATCATTTGGATGAAAAAGTAGAGGGGATGATTTTCAAATTGCAGATGACACAAAAAGAGATGGGAAAGTTAATAAACTAGGAGATAGAAACAAAAATGATGTTAATAGGTTAGAGAAGAGGCCTAAAAATAAAATAACAGAATTTAACAGAGTCAAATACTACAGATAAGGTAGAAGATAGGAGATTCTGCTTGGTAACAATACTGTTGAAATAGTAATTGATAGTAAACAAAATATGAGTTAGCAATACATGGAAATAAAAAAGGCAAATGCAATTTTAGGATGCATCCACAGGAAGTAAAGTTTCTAAAACTTGAGAATTGTTCACTTGATACCACTTGATCAGACCCTATCTCAAAGATTGTATCCAGTTTGGAGAACACCACTTTAAGAATTTAGAGAAACAGCTTTAGATAAGGGTAAAGAAGATGAAACTAAGTCCTGTGAACAGAGATTGAAGGAACCAAGCATATTTAGTTTTGAGAAAACTGAGTAAGGATATATTAGTTCTCCTCAAATACTTGGAAGAATATCAAAAAATATCAAAACATATTCAATATTGTTCCAGAGTACCAGACATGAAATAATGGATTTAAGTAATGGGCCAGTGGATTCCAAATAAATATGAGGAAAGATTTCCAGTTTGGCACTGAAAATAATTATCCAGAGAGGTGGATTTGTTCAAGGCAGAGGCTAAACAGCCATCAGTTTCAGGAGTTTTAAATTGGACTCCTGAACTGAGCCTAAACTCTCTGTTTTGATGATTTGAGGATCTTGTACATAATATTTTATGAAATCTCGTGTCTTATTCACCTGGGTGCTGCAATCTGATCCAGAAGAATTCTTTTTTAGATTCTTAACAGCTATCTATAAGGGCAGCTACTGTAGACTTATGATGTTAAATAAGACAAGTTCAGTTCTTAACAGAATCCCCCATGACTTGTTAAATCAGGCTTGAAAATGTCACTTTTGCTTATGATGAATGCCAGTGAAAATGTATGGAACATTGCAAGGAATTTAAAAGCTTCCATATGCATAAAAACATAAAAACAACAAAAAGCATACAAATATCAGAAGAGGCACTTAGCAGAGAGGGAAGGAGATTTTATTTTACTATTATTTGAAAACAATACACATGTAGGTTGATGCATTTCTTACTTCTATTCATAAAAAGTCTCATGGGAAAGAAAATTATTTCCGCATTATACTTCAGCTACGTTGTGGGAGCAACAGAGGTTGAAATTTCTACTATATGTAAATGTGAATGAAATATTTAGGTTTGGCTTAGTTTTATTTACTATTTATTTGAACAATTTAAATAACCACCTATCTCACCAAGGTAACCCTAGTGGCATACAAAGATTGAAACCAAAAAAGCCTAAGTCACAAAATCAATATTAAAAAAAAAAAACTATATTGTATCATGCACTTGGGATCAAAGAACCATACCACTTCAATCACTAAGATAATTACAAAGCACTCATCCAATGGAGCTCACAGAGTCCCGGCCTAAATGCCTGTGGGAACATCCAGACCTTTAAAGCCTTGTCAAAGAGCCACTGGGTCAGGGCCATTTGGATCTCCTGGAGAATGCTGTTCCACAGGACAGGCATAGCAACAGAGAAGCCATGACTCCTAGGTCCCCCCAAGATGACTTTGTCTAATAGATAGGACTTGGAGCATGCCAACTCTGCCAGTTCTGGCAGCGGAGACAAGCAGTCCTGCAAGTAACCTGGCCCTGCACCAAGTAGGGCTGTATAGGTGATAACCAGTGCCTTGAATTGCATCCAGAAGGCTGCTGGGATCCAGTGCAGCTTGTGGAGCAGAGGTGTTACATGGGCATATCGGGAAATGCCCAGAACTGTCTGTACTGTTGCATTCTGGACCACCTGCAGCTTCCAAAAGTTCTTCAAGGGCACTCCATGTAAAGCACATTACTATAGTCCAAACGGGAGGGTGATCCAGAAATTGGCACACATGTTGAACCTGTGAAACAGGTTAAGATTAGGGTTGCAAAGCATTTGTGATATGTGGTATAAGAAAACAATGCACATAGAATGGTACTAATCCACAGTGTGGTTTGATTGTTTCTGGCCTACCATACCATGAAGCCACCTATCAAGGCTTGTTAGCCATTGTTTATGACAAGGGTGGGCAACTTTTTTTAACCAGAGGCTGCTTGTTCCTTATTTTCAGCCTCTGAGGGTCATGGGAGCAAGAAGCATGGCAACGAATAGGATATCGTCGAAGTGGATACAGCTGACATTTTCTGCTCTTTATTTTTAGGAATTTGGGAGTTTACAGAAAACAGGTGCCCTGAAATCCCAGAAGCTTAGTGGACCTATTTTACTGGTTAAACTGTTTTTAAACAGGAGAAAATATTTCCATTAAAGATCACCATTTTGCCTCTGAATTTTTGTGGCATCTGAAGGGGGTCTAGGAGCGGCAAAAATGGATTTAGCTTATTGCAAGAATCTAGACAATTATGGTTTATTCAATGAACCATAGTAAACAAAATTGTGGTTTAATATGTGATAAAAACCCAGTCACTGGTGATTTAAACTACTTGAACCATCATTCCTCCTCTTACAGGAGGAACAATTGTAATTCTGTGAGCAAAAGATAGCAATAATTAAAAGAATCCTCAGCACTTTTGTAACCTACAGCTTCAACCATTTTTTAAAGATATTTACTGTATTTAAGGCAGTATAAAACCAATCTGTACTTCTAGAGTAGATAGCAAAAATCCCCGATAAGAGTATCTGCCAGGTTATATTTCGAGTCTTAGACCATTGTGAATTTTGATACCATTCAATAACCACAGCATTGACTGTCTATTCTCGCAGAGTTGTGTAGGAAGTAATAGATAAGAGTTTAATCCAGCCATTATCACCAACTTTGAAAAAGAAAGGTAGATTTATTGCAGGTTAAGAGTTCTAAAAACTTCCAAGAAGATAATTTCAGCATGAAATTTTCATGACCTCCCCCCCCATCCTATTCCTGGAACATACATTCAGCCTGTCTTTGCTTGTTCTGAAAAGCTGCTTTCTAAAAAGTTCCAAAGAACTCAAAAGAAATCGTATAGAAATCATAAAAATATAATTTCAAAATGTATTTTTTTAACCTAAAGATTTCAAAAGTCTTTGCTTGCAGTATCTCCAGTAAATATTAATTCTTTTTATTACGTCAAAGTTCTTACATAATTAGGAAGCATGTTTGCCACGTTTCAAGCCAGTTTTTAAGTAAGCACTTTTTAAGATATCAGTAGTTAAGTGACAGCCTACACAAATTCATTAAGACCATTTTCTGGTACAATAAAAAGGATTTTGGAAACCTCAAAACACAGGAAATCAAGCAAAAGATTATCAAAAAAGGAGAAAATATTCATTTATTATTAAAAAAAAAACTATGTCCAAGAGCAGCTAACAAACAAATAAATCAACATTTAAAAATATATATCATACAAACCCTCCCCAGATTAATAAAGTATTCACCTAGATTTAGCATTCTGCATTAACAGTAAAAACAAAAACTTATAAAGGCATAGTACATTGTGATATAATAAATGAACTAAGAGCACAGTTCTGAAGATGTTTTGCCTTTCAAAGCTCACTCTCAGCAATGTTCAAATTAGGCTCAATACTATTTTCAGAGTGCAATCTAACTGGTATAAAAAAATTAAGAGATCAGTCATAACAGATTTGCATGCAGAGCTGGATGAATTCTCCACATAAATTGGCCTTCCAGACTAGCATAAGGAAAATGAAATTATGCTTACTTAAAAAAAAAAAAAACTTTCTTTAGTTCATAAAACTTGTTTGATGCACCAATCATAGACCTTGGATACGTCACAACAATCTGTGTACTATACAACAAAATATTAAAATATTAAAAACATAAAATAATATATAAACCATAAAAGCATACATAAGATTTACCAGTTCCAAATTTCTATTACCTTGATATATGTTGAGTTGGTTTGTTACAAGGAAAAGCAGATATCAGCCATGATTTTGACCAAAAACCAAGAGTAATAGTAATTATACTGGAACAAAAATTCTATATTAAAAATCTGTTCTTCAAAATATAAATTCATAGTCAAAAACAAAGTGTCATATGTAACAAAAGGTGAAATGGAATTTACAGGATTCTATTACAACTTCATACAGTTCTCATACCTCTTCCACATTTTCCATCTTTCAAGTTAAAGATACAGTCAACCATTTAATGCAGAAATACAAAATTATAGTCATTTATGCAAGTTGTACCACCATTTAGGCTATTTAAAATCTAACTAGTTGGAAACTACACTGGCTCACAAGATAGATTTCATGTGGGATCACAGTTGACTGATTGATGTCACTCTTGTCTTTTTTCACCAAAAGTCACTCAAACATCTTTTTCTGCCAAAGTAATGTTACCTCTGTGTATGGTGTTTGCTCCACTATAAGCTATCTAAACATTCAGGTAGTGGGAAGTACTACAGGTAGAATGGTAATCACAGCATGCAAAATCCATCAACTCAGAGCTTATTTTCTTGATCACAGGCCTAATTTTGCTGAATTAGTTCACACTCTCAGTGCCTCCCAGCCATAATTCACATCTTCTTCATTTTCTTCTTGCTGCGTTGGTTGAAGACTGGTGAAGAGCCTATCAAACTATCAGGGGAATGAGAACCATAACTGCTTTCAGAACCATTTGGGCTCTGTGGCATCCCAGCTTCACTCATGCCTGACATTGGCTCTTCAAATACATCACCGCCCAGGACTCCATGGTGCCCATGAACATTGCCCTCCTCATTCTCTTGTGGTTCCATTTTTACTGGGGCCAAGTTCCAAAGAGGGGAAGTGTTCACCTCACCACCTGTGAGAGAGAGAGAGAGTGGGACAGGGGGAAGGAGGAAGGAAGGACTTTTTCATCAATCAGCAAAAGATACAAAACTGTAACTCATAAATATGAGAGCTGGGAGAGAAGCACTGCAACTAATGAACTGGTTAAATGACTAAAGAACACATTAAAAACAGAGAAGAGTCATGCAAATACTGTTAATGTTTTTAGCATCTCTTACACAGCAAGAAAACTTTTACTTTCAATGAATTCTGAAGAGAGAGTAAACCAACAGCATGAGTAACTCATCATGAAGCAATGGACTAGATTAAATACTCTGATACTACTGAAGATGGGGAAATAAAATAAGAAGATGACACCACAGAACCCACTTAACATTCCTAAAACACATGCACACTTTGTGTCATTTTAATATACTATATAAAGGTACCCAAAGAGTGCACTGCAGAGGACTATTTGCAATTTAACTAAGGCCATCTAATAAAAACAAAGACTACCAAGGAAAAAAAAAACCTACATTCTTAATAATCACTAATCTACTATTGGATAATTACATTTAATATACTGCCAACACATTAACCTCAAACAGAAATCTATTCACATCAAGCAATGAGTGTTTTGTTCCCAAATGATCTAGGCATCGCTTGGGTGCATCATTTCCCTCACATTTTCAAGGCATTGTAGAAAACTCAATGTTGACTCTTAGCAACCACACAGACAGATTCTCTCCATGATGATCTGTTCCTAACCTGGTCTTCCAAACTCAAACCCTTACAGCTGCAAAAGTATAGGCACCTCAGGTCAAACTGTATGTTTCAATGCATCTCTAAGGAAACAGAAGATGACACAACCTCTACATCACAAAATGTAGAACATAACATCTTTCTGCATATTTTAATGCATGCTTAATATTTATGTGCAGATGCCTAGACTGAAAATAAAAAAAACTGAGACTATAATTGGTGCAGAAGTTTGGAGACCCTTTCAGTTAGTACTTTGTAATAACTCCTTTGACACGGAAAACAGCCAGTTAAACGTCTTTCTATTCTTGCTTTTGGAATGTTTCACCATTGTTCCTTGCTTATGCTGGTCTATGACCGTAATAAAGATTTTATTTGATTGTTCCTTGGAGAACAATGAACTCTTCTAGTACAAAATTATTCTTACATCTTGTATGCATTACATGTTTGAGATTACCTCCACATTTCAAAAATTCAAGTCTGGGGATTGTGAAGGCCATTCCAAAAACTTTGTTTTCTTTCCAGTAAATACTTCATGACTGATCAGGAGCCATGTTTCAAATTACTGTCTTGGTAAAATATCCAACTTCTTTTCAGCTTCTGTTTCTGGATGATACTTCCCCAATCTGTCCTTCAGGTCTTACAACGTGCACCCATTGCCACTGTAATTGAGTCCCTTCACTTTGCCTTTGGTTATCCTCTTCTTCCCTTTCCCAGTATTACAGACTTCTCCAGAAAGCTAGGTCTTCACATAACGAGTCCATAATGTGTCATTGAAATTATTTTCTAGAATATGCTGATATTTAGTTGAATCCATTCTTCCTTTCACTCACATAATGCTATCTGTGTTACTGGCTGCCATACAACCGCAAAGCATGATAGAGCAACTCCTGGCTTAACAGTTGGCAAACTATTCTTTTCTTTAAATGTTTCATCCTTTTTTTCCCTCCAAATGCATCTTGTGTATGTGGCTGAACAGTTCAACTTCTGCTTCAGCAATGCATTTTGTTCTATAATATTTGAGACTTATTCAAGACTTTCTTTTGCATACTTCACTCAATGACTTTTGTAATCAGGTTGGAGAAAAGTTTTCTTCTGAAAATTCCCCTGCAGATCACTGTTGTATGAGCAGTGCTATAGGGTGAACCTGTGGGCAACAACTCTAGTACCAACTAACATTTTCAGTGGATTATCTACAGTGATCTTTGGGTTCTGTTTTGTAGATTTGTCTGGTTTGGGGCCGTTCTAACAGAGATTTTTCTTGGCCTTCAAAATTGTGCCTTGACTTCAATGTTCCATTTCAATTCAATTTCTTAACAGTGTTTCTCATAGTTCAGTTAGCAAGAAGCATTTAGACATTTTATACCCTTTCCCTGCTTTATAAAAGAGAATTGTCTTCATTTTCAAATACTCAGAAACAGAGGTAACCATAGGGAAGGAGGTGGGGTGACAAGGACATCAAGATGGTTGCTGCAACCATGTTTTTAATGTGTGTTGCAAAATGTAAAAAGGGTGGGGCTTAGATTGCAGGGTCATGCCTTAGCAATTTGACTGGTTTTTAACCACCATTCCCCATGGACGGCCCTGCTCACAGGGCTGCTTAGAAGAGTCCAGAACTGCTGAAAGTACTGAGAATGGCAATCACAAGCTTAGCAGAGTCTGAGTAGTTGCTCACTTGTGGAATTATCTTCAATTAGTAATTATAGGCTTAACAAGTGAATCACCTTTAGAAGTGATTATAAGTAACTTACAAATAACTTCACAGGAAAAAAAAGTACTTGATGAACTGGAAAGGTGTCCAAAAGTCTGCCATAGTCAGTGTTGTCTTATTTTGAATCTGTAAGCAACTACATATAAATAGCAAGCATGCATTCAAATTTGCAGAAAAACATTAAGTTTAACTTCATACTATGTAGGAGTGGTGTCAACTTTTGTTCATTTAGGAATTCACTAAAAAATAAAATTTGATTAGAACTTTTGTGTGCAACTGTATCATTGCATTTAAATGCAAGTGATTCTCCAAGAAACATCAGTGGAACTCGACTGAGAATCTTATTAGAAACCTGAGTATACCAACATTTGATTTGGCAAAGTATATTTTAGACCTTCCTGACTGCAGAAATAAGCATGCAAAACGGTTGGAAAGTACTGAAAGGTGTAAACAAAGCCATTTTTTGATTAGCAATGGTTTGCTGAATGCATTACAATTGATTGGATTCATCCAGCACATTAAGCCATAAACTATGGTTTACAAACCCTAACAACTGTGTTCACATCATACACAAAGCCAAAACCAAATAAATCACATTAGTATCTGTGTTAAGGCAGCCTAGGCAGTTATTTTAAAGTGTGTTGTTTGTAAGTACAAGCAGTGGACAGATGGCATGTATTCTGAGATTGTTAGCCAGCAAGCATTAAAAAGCAAATCACAACTCCTTAGGGCTTAAAAAAATTATAAAGAATGTAGTGTTTTGTTAACATCCAATTTCCAAGCTAACTTTATCTAATGCTAGAAATTTAATTCGGCTAGAAATGAATTTAACATTTTAAGGGCCGTTCACAAATGACATCATTAGCAATTTCCTTCAACCAAGCTGTAGCCCTTTTTTCCTAGCTGCTTTAATTAGAAAAGCGATTACTGACTTTGTCCTCTAACCTTGCCTTTGCCCTCTAAAAAATAAATAACATTTCAAGGCTTAGGAGACAAGCTAGTGTGACAAATGATAAAACTGCTACATTCATATCCCAGTATCTCCCTTCTACCAACACCACAATACAGGCACAACCTTTCAGCTAGAACTGGGGAACCCAGAGGTACCAGAGACACCTGGGGTTTTTTTTTGTTTTTTTTAATACTGAAAAAAATTGAAAGCTGAAATGCTACAGAGGAAAGCACTGGCTTCTACTATGTTTATTTTTCAAAATGCATCTGGGCCTCATATTGGTCCCATTAACTTTCTTAAAAGATAAAATTAAGGAGTGCCTGCAGCCTAGAGCTTTGTTTGGAAGTCTCCCCGCTTGTTCATGAAAAGTACAAAGTTAAGCAGGAATAGTAAGGAGGATCCTGCAGGATGGCAAAGTAGAGATGGTGACAGCTAGCGCAAGAAGACTGATGCTTTATAACTAGTAATGTTGCCATTGCGGCCATTTTATGAAAGTGCCCACACGTTTTCAAATATGGGCATCATTCTGATAGCTGACCCCAACTTAGAGCAAATGAAATGAAAAGAGCCACATTTTCCGAATAAAAATCTATTTCCACACACTGGAAATACATATCTGTGAAGAAGCAGTGTTGTCAGGCCTTCTCCATTGCAGACCCCGCCCCCCTTCCTCTGGAATAGCATCTTCCTTGACATTAAACTGACACTATCCTGTTGTGGTTTAGGAAACTCATTAAGACATGGCTGTCCCATAAGGCCTTTGAGAATGATGTGACTGAGCCTCTCCTACAGTAAGAGTTATTCTGTTTTGTACAGATTATTGCTCCTTGGTACAGTATGATAGGTGAGGGTTTTTTTTCCCATTGTGCGTATTGTTTTTCTCTTTTTATTTTAACTAGGAACATAACTTATAATTAGTTAAGACTGAGGCAGTGCATAAGCCCAAGTAAAATAAATAAAATAATATGTACCAGAGGTTTGCGGAGAGGCCTCAGTTTCCAAGTTGGATGAAAAGCGTTCACTCTGAGCTCCAAGGACTCCAACAGGCAACGACTGGTCTCCAGATGCCAGATCCCCCTCCAGCTCCTCACTCATGGGAAATGTGATGTCACTAACAGGTTCTTCCTTGATTTTCACAGGTTTCAAATCTTCTGCTGCCTTCTCAGGGTTTACCAACTTTTCATACTCCTCAGAGAGTTGCTTGCTAACCTGTTAATAAGCCATGAAGTAAAGAAAGAAAGCCTGATTTGTAATAAAGTGTTAGGTGCATGAAGGTACAACACAGCCACTGCCTTCAGGACAAATTCACCCTCATTTTCTTCTGCATGACCCAGCCTCCATCTCCTTTTGTGCCTGATTTGCTTGGATCTTATAAACTAGAGAAGCAACAGTTTTGTTAACACACCACACTAAGCCATAATGTTTCTTTGGGACTATATGTGTTCATGGGAATTTAGCCATTGTGATGTATAAACCATGGTTCATGATCAACCAATTCCAGTTTATCAATTCTTGGTTAAGGAAAACAGGTTTAACACAATGTACAAACCAGATCATTGTGTCTTGATGCAATTAATCCCTGGCTCATGGACTGCACAAAGCCAACAGTTCTGGTAGGTGTAATGCATATTTCACCTTTCACTGAATTGTCAGAACAAATTAAATAAGATCTGTAGTTATTTTTAAATTGTATTTATTAATCTTTTTTCCAAAAAGTAACTGAATACAGTCTCAATAGCTAACCAAGTCACAGCCCCGAGTGCTCCTACCACCACTGGAACCACTTTGGCCTTTACTTTGCACATCCTCTCTGGTTCCTCCAAAAATATTTCTATGTCAATTCCACTGAATGGCTATTTTACTTTTTAAAAACCTTCCAACTCCAAACAAGACAACAAAAGTCCCAAAATTTCAGCCTTGCTCTTCTAGTAATGTCACCATGCCATTGCCACACCACCTGCAGCCTTTGAAGGTCAAACAATTCATTTTTAAAAGTGCATCTCCTGGCTTTGAAAAGGTTGCCTACCTTGGCTGATGATTCTGTTTGCTTTGTAATATGAAGATCCTGCAAACCATTCAGGTAGCACATCAGGATCCCATTACTGGAATTACATTTGAGATCCAAATCAGATACTTTTTATTTGATCTGACGTTACCTAAGCAGTATTGGAGGCTCTGCAAAATAGTTCTTTTTTCCACCTCAACTCCCAGTATGTGTAAAAATGCCAAAAGAGAAATCACAGGTCTTGGTGTGGTAAGTTACCAGGTACCTAAATTCCTCCTGTATAATGGAGGTTCTTGAGGGGGGGAGAAAAACAATGCAGGAAAGAACATAGTTGCAGTAGTCCACAATCAGTCATTTGATTATAAACTGCTTATAAGCTGCAGACTGAAGGAAGAATTTCCACTTTGTTTATTTAAAACTTTTATATAGCTGCCCAACTTATCCCAAAGTCTGGGTTGCTCACTTTTTTCATGTATCTACTTGATTTAGCAATCTAGAAAATAACTCCTAAATGCTAGGAAATTCTGAAAGAAGGAATTTTACCAACTCTAGGAAAATCCCAATTTGAAATGAAGGAGGGGAGAAATCCCTCACAAATGCGCCAAATCCCTATGCTGTCCTGAGTAATGAATCATTTTAACTTTGCAATGAGTATGTAGTACTGGAGGATTTCAATGTCTGTATAGAAACTTTTAATGTATATGTAATACACACAATCACACACACACACACACACACACACAAAATCCCCTCTCACCCCTATGGGTGGTATGCGTCTTCCTCAATCTCAGGTC